ATCTTTCATGCGTGATTTCATCAGAAATGTTCTATTTCTTTAAACAAAAATTGCACAGTGTCAGAGAAGGTCGACACGCGCGAAAAGATACTTGAAATTGATTTACATGTCAATTGAGGTGTCTTCTGAAATCCGGAGGGTAGTCTAATGAATGCTGTCGACTAGATTCTATCGAAAAAAGGAATTCTATTCATTCAATTTTGACAAATGGATAATTTTGTTCACGATTTCATCAAGCACAGTTGTGGATCCGACTATTGCATCTCTTTAGCAGGACCAACGGAAACATTTCAAAACATTCTGGTAGAGCCCCGATGATTCACGGTCCGACAATTGAACTAATTTGGCGATCCAACAATTGCATTCATCAGCAGGTCTTAAAAATATTTCAACACATTGTAGAGCTAGCTGCAGAGAAAGTTCGATACGATCTTTGTCCTTGTTTTTTCTTTACGTCTATTAGATGTTTGCGCGAACGATCACTCACTCCTAGTCTTCCTTCTATCTCACCAATATAAACCATTTTGCTCAGAGTGCAAGTTATTATGCAGTAGATTACAATCGAAACGATCGGTGATTTTCATTGAGCATGTCGGACCTACGACGAATTGTGAACAAAAGGACAAGTCTTACATCGAGCGTAGTAAAAAGCATCTCAAAGTACCTGGTTGTTCGAGGATGAATGGTTCGTCTGATTTGAGAGAACATTTGACTATAAAGTTTCCGAGATTCTAAAAAGTCGAGTTACATGTAAAAGGAGAGAAGTGGTGATTGAGTGAAACTTCTACCTACTTCAGATAGAAAGTTAGCTAGAATTATATCCAAAGCTTATAGCCGGTTATTTAAGTAGTAGGTGTATGAGATTGAATGGAATTCATTTTCCTTAGATCTTTGTGACATTCGAAGCGCTGTTTCTTGATCTATTTGTTGAGCGCGAGCTAGTCTCTCTTCGTAAACACTCTTTTTCCTTGGCCATCGTAGCTTTAGAAGAAACAAAACACAAACCGCGGTGATAAAC